TCAAGCCTGGTTCACATGAGACGATTTAAAAATTGTCGGCCGATTTTTTCTGATAAAAAATCAAGGGTCTAACCACACGGCAAAATCACGCAAACCACACACGAACCGATTTCCCCCTCCGAGCATTCCCAGGTCAGACGGAAATCTCACAAAATCTCTCGAGATCAAGCGTGACTTCAGAGTAAACAATCATTCCGGACAAAGAGGATGCAGCGGCGATAGTTTCCAGTTTGTTTTTAGCAGAGAAAAGACGTAATCAAAAGAAAAGGCGATGAACAAAGAAGTGTAGACAACGCGAGCATGGACTATACTTGCTACATCGTGATTTGGAGGTGAGTTGTTTTTTTGCGGTGTTTCCTCAATCCGTGTATCATTCGTTCTTTTGATTTTCTAAATAAAACCAACATTGAAAAAACGAATAACGAGGGATGTTTTTGATTCTCAATATTTGAATTTAATGCAAAATAGAAACATTGGTTTGTTTTTTTGTTTTCTGTGGATCCAATTAAAACGAAAATGCAGTAAACCAATAATGACCGTCTAAATTACATTTAGCGATTTTCCTTTGAAACACAAACGTCCCCCGGAAGTGATTCGAAAGTGCGCGTTTGTCACGAGACCAGGAAGTGTCGCCTCCAGGTACTTGGATCGCACCTTGTTAGCGTTGGCTGTAGGAGAAATGTCTCTTAAAACTCTCCTCAACATCAGTCAGATTACCAGCTTTTTCGTTCGCTGCTGCAGAGACCATCGCAGATGAGAATTCTCAGATTCACGAGTTTTCTTCGATTAAAAATATATACACAAGTGTCAAGGTAAGACATAACTTAGCAACTAGCGCTAACAGCTAAGTTAGCGTTAGCTACGACAAACATGAAACACTTACACATGTAACAAATGCACCTAATGTGAGTGCTTTATTATTATAAATGTATGTTATAGACTTTCATATTATATAAGGACATGATATGTTTGTGTATTGGTGAAAGTAATTATGCTAAATTTTAGTAAATAAAAGATGATGCTAGATGTACCTTAACCATTCAATTGTGCTTTGTTTCTGCTTCATTCTCAATTATTGTCGAGGGACAGTAGTTAGAGCTAGATGCTTCAGGCTTATGAAGAGAAACGAGGAGCCCTCAGACTGCAGGTTTGAAACAGTCAGAAAGACTGCAGGTGTGAAACAGTCAGAAAGACTGCAGGTTTGAAACAGTCAGAAAGACTGCAGGTGTGAAACAGTCAGAAAGACTGCAGGTTTGAAACAGTCAGAAAGACTGCAGGTTTGAAACAGTCAGAAAGACTGCAGGTGTGAAACAGTCAGAAAGACTGCAGGTGTGAAACAGTCAGAAAGACTGCAGGTTTGAAACAGTCAGAAAGACTGCAGGTTTGAAACAGTCAGAAAGACTGCAGGTTTGAAACAGTCAGAAAGACTGCAGCTTTGAAACAGTCAGAAAGACTGCAGGTTTGAAACAGTCAGAAAGACTGCAGGTTTGAAACAGTCAGAAAGACTGCAGCTTTGAAACAGTTAGAAAGACTGCAGGTTTGAAACAGTCAGAAAGACTGCAGCTTTGAAACAGTTAGAAAGACTGCAGGTTTGAAACAGTTAGAAAGACTGCAGGTTTGAAACAGTCAGAAAGACTGCAGGTTTGAAACAGTCAGAAAGACTGCAGGTTGGAAACAGTCAAAGCCGCTGGGCTCATGTTCAGTTTGAGTTCCTGTCCTGATAGAAGACTAGCAGAGCATCTTTCTGTTTGGTGGTTACTATTTCTCTTCTGCTGACTTAATAAGATCGTTAAGTTATAACAAGTAATAATTATGTCTGTTCTAAACCCACTTTTCTGTTTTAGATCTCACTGGGTGTGCAGCAGGTAAAGGTTTCAGACTTCACACTACTCCCAGCCTTGGCCTGTACCAGTGATCTAGCTCTCCAGCTGGTCCTGGCCTGTACCAGTGATCTGCAAAGATCTCCAGCTGGTCCTGGCCTGTACCAGTGATCTGCAAAGATCTCCAGCTGGTCCTGGTCTGTACCAGTGATCTAGCTCTCCAGCTGGTCCTGGCCTGTACCAGTGATCTGCAAAGATGGATGTGTTTATGTCAATGCAATAAAATTAATAATAACTGATCTACAAATCTCCTTTTTGTTCCTTTACATTTTAAACTTTCAACTCGTGTTTATCATTGTAAATTTATGTTACAAAATTAGAATCATTGCATGAAAAAGCACGTACTCATCAGTCTACATTATGTTCTGTCACATTTGAAAGTGTAAAAACTGTTCTAAAATCCAGTTGTCCTGGTCTTAATGGGCATTACACACGCAGTGACCTCACAGACAGAGATGTAAACTGTGTGGTCAATCTAACATGCTGGTTATGAAGTCTAACGTGTTCTGTGAATGTATAAACCTCCTTGTTCCAGTCTTTTTGGGCTCCTTTATTCACAAACCAACTGTGGCGGAGCTACAAGCAGCTCAGTCTGCAGAGGTGAACAGTTTCCTATGACTCAGTGAGGATGCTGCTGAAGATCCCAGACACAGTCGTCCAGTCAGATGTTTGCTGAGTGCAGGGTGCGCTCCTTTCCTACGTCACTGCTACTATCAGTCATGTGTAGAGTCATGATGGTACCTAATAGTATAGTACAGTCCCTGGTTTGCCCTTACATTAGCTCAGTCAGGGTCACTTCTAAACTTTGGAGTCACTGGCTTCTTTGTATGTGTGACTTGCTGTAAATATGTGATTGTGTCTTTTTAACACAGCTTTTTTTTTTGTATTGTTCTTTCATTCTTAGCTCTGGATCCTGTGCTTGCATGTAAGTCCTTAGTAAAGTCTAAATAAAATTGGACCCATGTTGCTGCTGAAAGGAAGTCTGAGGTGTAAGTTGTTCTGTAAAGGTACATTCAAATACACAACTTGTCATTTTACAGTCTTGTTTAGTTAAGAATGTCATTTCCTAATTCATAAATCTATTGATACATAATCCACTAATAGTTTAGTATTTGTTTTAACGGGTTTTCCATTGCGATTCAACACAATTTAGAAAAAAAATGTACAGAATTGTGTCCAGGTGTGTTTTAATTTGGGAACAAACTAATCAAAAATATTTACACTGGAACAGACACACAGAAGATTTACATACATGATGAATTTAGTCTTTGGCCTTCTTAATTTACCAAAACACAACAAGCTGTGATTCCTGAGCCTCGGGAGACAGGATCCCTCTTGAATGTTGCAATACAATTGTTCAAGGAAAAAGAGATGGAGCAGCAATAGTTTTAAGGCGGCTGATATGTAAAAAAAAGGGCAGGAATTGGGCAGGAACATGATCCATGTTTAATGAATACATTTACTCAGAATACCTTTCTGTGAGCCCTATACGATGAAATAACGCCACTTCAAAAAGTTTGCTTTCGTGATTAACCACTGTATCAAAAAGAAGGGACATGACTCAGCTGATGACTTGACATTTGGACAAACCTAGTCGGTGTAACGTGGTTGATATTTCTGCATATGTTTGAATGTTTTAGAACCATTCTATCGCTGTATCTGCAAAGTCTTCCAACGCACCCATCATTTAGTTCATCTCCACCGCTACTCCACTGTTTACCTGTGGGGTGCGCACTTGCGAATCACTTCCGGGGGATTCTTGTGTTTCAAATGGAATTAGCAAACAGTAATTTAGACGATCATTATTGGTTTACTGCATTTTCGTTTTAATTGGATCCACAGAAAACCAAAAACAAACCGATATTTCAATTTTGCATTAAATTCAAATATTGGGAATCAAAAACATCCCTCGTTATTCGTTTTTTCAATGTTGGTTTTATTTAGAAAATCAAAAGAACGAATGATACACGGATTTTCCTCGCCGCCTCGTCTTCTGATTGGCTACACGCCGCAGTCATGGCAACGCGCTCGTCTGTCCCCGGGGGACACCACACACGAAGAAAAATTGGGGCAAAACAATCCTAACATGTTGGATATCCCCAATATTGAGATCGGAGCAGTCCCGCCCGAAGTCCTTCCAAGCAACGAGCACAGTCTTAACACACCACACACCGCAGGAAAATCCATCAGATTTTTTTACGATAATCAGAGCATTCTTAAAGATTGTCGTAGGGGTAAATCGGGTCCAAAATTGGCCGAATTATCCCGTTGTGTGAACCAGGCTTGTGTAGAATGTTGTGACCTATGCATCACCATGGCAGCGGTTGTCATAGAAACATGTAATTTAAAACTTTTGAACGTAGAGGCAGAGCTAAGCACTTCTTTCTTTATGTGTTCGAGATTAATTTAGAAGCAGCATCACTTCTTGAGTTTAAAATGAGTTTAGAAGCATGGCTAACCTCTCCTCTGTTTGTGTTTGAAATGAGTTTAGAAGCATAGCGAACCTGCAATCCGGCTGCGTCTCAGATGGCCTACATGTTTGTCTAAATAAAGTAAAAATATTATGATCTTTACATTTTCAAAAAATATAAGAAATGTATTACATTAGACCCAAGTGTGTGTGTGTGTGTGTGTGTGTGTGTGTGTATGTGTGTGGGTGTGCGTGTGTGTGTTTTTGTGTGTGTGTGCGTGCATGTGTCACTTTAGCACTTCTCCACATAGTTTACAAATGTTTTTCTGTTTTATTTTGTGGCCTCACACGAGTGTAAGACGGCGCTGAAAACTGCCTCAAAACACGAGGTCAAAAGGCGGATTACAAAGCAAGTCAGTGAGAATGTGTCCATGAATACACCATATTTGGTCTTGAACATGAAAACCGTGCTTCCCAAACCTCCAACAAATGCAGGGGTGAGACCAGAGCAGTGTGGTTGAAGCTGAGGCTTTGGTGTTTTGTGACTTTGAAACTGCGCTTGTTGGATCCAGGAGACGACAGCTTGGTGACGGTGGCTCGAGAATGTCCTCTAATCCGATTCAGCGCAGCATTTGAATAATTGATGTGGGGATATAATTTGGTCGGTTCCAGATGTCCCCTGCTCCCTTAATCAATAGTGATTCCTTTAATCACTGCTTGGCGGGTGTCGGGGATGAGTCGGAGATGTGTTGGTCGTTGCTCCCCGTGTCAGCCTCAGCCCTGGGCAGAGCCTTCAGAGCGGCCCACAGGTGCCTGGCTGCAGAGGGCTGTTTGGGGCTGGAGGATATTGAGGCGATCAGCAGCAGGACACTCTGGCGGCGGAGGAGACAGACATGGCCTCAGACTAAAGCTGACTCTAAAACTAACTTTCTTCTGGGCAGATTTATTTGCACACACAACACACATTCTTGGGATATTTCTAACTCTAAAGTTCATGTTTCCGAGCTGTCTTAGCTAAAAGACTGGGCCAATCACAATGAGCCAAGCACAACCTCAATCACAACATCAATCGGAAACGCTGTTGTGGTTCACTGTCAGTTAATCAGTAAATCAAAGCATTAAAATTATAGGAAGATTATTTAGAAGAATTATTGATAGGAAAGTGATAGTTTCTGTTTTATGTGTGCATAACCTGAGTGTTCTTATTTTCTCCTTTTATTCTGCTGTAATGTGCACAACAATGACACTGAAATGTCCCCACTGAGGAATGAAAAATATCGTATCATTGATCAATATAGAAAAACAAATGGGATTGACACATCACTTGCAAACAGGCAGATTCTGATTTCATGCTGCAGAGCGAGATTTCTTTTATCAAATAAATGTTTAAAAGAACAAATATGATGCACGATTTTGTCCCTTTAACATCTAAGAGGGACTTTGTGATTTCAGAATAAAATTGTGGATAAGCACCAAGGCATCCTGACCAACAAAAATAATTTCCTGGGACCCCCCATGGTAACATGCTTTCACGTGCAGTAAATATATGTATGTATGAAATACATACATACACACAAACATACTTACATACATACATACAGTATATACATATGTCTTGTACTTCAGTATATACAGTACTGCATATCTTTACTGTAGTTTTCAAATGGCCGTTCTGTGTAAAGTGATGTCTTGAGCATTTTCAGCTAGTGTCACCAAAATATATATTTTATATATATAAAAACACAGAGAGAGTAAACTGTGCCGTGGAAAGCATGACTAAACCATTTGACTGTAAACACTGGTGTCAGGACTTATTATTTTGAGACACACACATGAAGACTTACTTTTGAGGAATCAACCATTAATTTTGAGAAAGTGATGCACTTTTGCAGGTTATCGACGAGGTTTTGCAGTTTGTACTAATTGTTCTGGGAAATACACAAACTGTTTTGAAAATGTTAATAGTGATGTGAGAAATGTACCAAAGCGACTGAAAAAACAGGACAGGAAGACTGTGATTATGTGCACATGTCACAGAGAAACTGGAACAAGATGTAACACGAACATTAGAGAACATTACATAAAAAATCCTGCAGACCATTGTGTCTACAATCGGCGATTGATCGATAGATAGAAAACTGTCACAATATATGTCTGCACCAAAAGAGCGTCACTGGATATCAGCAACACATGTGCTACAAGGACAATAAACAGGAGAAGAATAACACGTTACTGTTTTGCACATCTGAAAAACAGAAAGCAGCCTACAGTAGCTATGTCAACATGTGATGGCCGCCACAGCACTGTCACGTGTGGGGAGATGAAGGACCCAAAATGCAGGAATTAATGATTATTGACAAAGATAAAATAAAAGTACAAGATAAAAAAAAAACTCAGAATCCAAACTGAACACAGGAACTACAAACCAGGAACAATGACAATACAATGAACCAGCAACAAGGGAGAGGAGCACAAGGTACATACAGCCACAGAGACACGGGTGAAACACATCAAGTCAAAATAAAACCAAGTACAAAATAACTAAAAATCCATACCATGACAAGCACAAGTTTATACCTCTCTTGACGGGATGGTAATATTTACCAGTTACCATTTTTACAGATAACCAGAGTCCAATTGCGTTGTCCAAAAATCCAATAAACCGGCAGAGATGTAAACAGATTGACATGAGATTCCATTTCATTTGATCTGCACTAAATGAAAAGAAAAGAAGTACAACGACAAATATGGCAGCAGATCTGTGAGCAAAGTGACTATGGCAGTTTTTCTTATATCCTAATGTTGTACTATTATTACCGAACTTAAAAATGACCATTACCCTATCTATTTTTAAAGCTTCTCTATTATTTTATTTGAGTGTGTGAAACCTGCATGGAGCGGTTTTGCACAGACATTTTTGCTCACAGAAAGAAAAATGAATTAATGCAAATGTGTTTGAATTTTTGTCAATGACCTTTTACATTTGTCTGGAGATTTGATTTCTTATGAAAATTTGAAAAGATCTTTTAACATTTCTCTCGATGAGCTACAATACAACCAGCTGATTTCTGCAATTCCTAAAACTTGGAAAAGAAAATTGCAAAATTGTAGGAAGAATAAGTTGATGGTTTGTCTCCCAATAATAAGATGCCCAAAATGGCTGTCTGGTGCCAAAATAAATAAAATAATATATATGTGGAATGTAAATATCACAGGCACCGCACTTTTTCCACACAGAATCTGCCTGTTTTGGGAAGATGAATTCAATGATCCAATTTTGTGGAAAGATTACTTTAGAACAATTTATAGAACTACAATAGATTCATATTCCAGGATATTTCATCTTTTATAAAATTATTGCAACAAAAAAATCTCTGTTCAAATGGCAGATAGAAAAGGATCCCTGTTGCAGGTTCTGTGGGGATGAGGAGGAGGACCTGATGCATTTGTTTTATTTTTGTCCACATGTGGCTAAGTTTTGGGTCAGGGTACAGTTATGGTTAAGGTCTATGGGTATTGCTTTGCAAATTACACCTCAGAATATTGTGTTATGTATTTTTGAGGGTAAATGCACATACCTTTTGAATATGATTATTCTGATGGGTAAAATGTTTATTTTTAAAGCTAAAAATGTATCAAATTTATGTATAAAACACTTTAAGAATAGAGTTTATCATCAGTATATGTTAGAAAAAATTATAGCAACAAATAACAACAGAATAATTGAGCATGAAAAGAAATGGAATGTCTGCTTACCTGAGTTAGAGATATAAATATTAGGTGTACTTGCTATGCCATTTGTTATGTCGTAAATGTTTTGCTAATTATATTGTATTTTGTTTATGGATTTTGATTGGTATTAGTGACTTTATTTTATTTCTCATTTTCTATGTTATTATTTTCTTTTTCTTTGTGCTTCTTTTTTGTCTATAGTCTGTGTTCAAAATACTAAGAATGTGTGGATGATTGTGGTTGTGATTGTGCTATGAATGTAAGGGGGAGTCGCTGGGTTTGGGTGGGGGGTTTTGAAGTTTGTCTCGTTATTTTATCTTGTAAATAAAAAAATAAAAAAAATGTGTTTCAATCGTTGGATTATCTGAAGTCCTCTGAGGTGACTCCTGTTGTGAAAGTTACATAAAAACAAGTTGAATTGAATGTTATGTCTCCTTCCCTGCTGTTTGTGTGGTCTGCTTGTCATAAGTGGACAGTGTCATTATGCTCTTGTAGTGGTGGAGTTCATTGGCCCAGACTCAGACTTGTGTCAGGTTGAAAGAACAGGACAAAGGCCCTTCTCTCAGTCTATAAGTTACATACAGCTGCTTTAACACTGTTATTAGTGTCTGCTCGGCCTGATAATGAAGTCTGCAGAGCGGACAACTGTCATCACAGAATGTCCTCTTCATTTGCATAATGGCTTCTGTCTTCTCTCACAGCCACATCATGTCTTTACTAAATAATGACACTGCTGTATGCATTTAAGAGTGACGACTCTTGAAATGTCTTTTACTGACACGGAACGTCATACATACAACTGAGGGATTTTATATTTGTATCTTTTTTTTTTAATGTACTGTGATTATTTATGATTTTAATGCTTTCTTGTTCTGTTCAGCACTTTGAGTTGCCTTGTGTATGAATTGTGCTATACAAATAAACTTGCCTTGCCTTGCCTTGCCTTGCCTACATAAAATACATACGGAAACACATACCCCCTTCCTTTCTGTTCAAATGGCAAGGGCAAGGCAAGATTATTTGTATAGCACAATTCATACACAAGGAAACTCAAAGTGCTGAACTAAACAGGATAGAGACAGTCACACAAGGCATTAACATCATAAATAATCACAGGGCATTAAGATAATATCATACATCTGTATACACCGCTAAACAGAACGGCTTTTAACCTGGATTTGAACATTGTCAGAGAAGAAGCTTGTCTCATATTTTCAGGAAGACTATTCCAGACTCTAGCTGCATGAATCTGAAATGCTCATTTTTAAATTGTTCCAAATTAGTTTGATTATGTTGCTTACAACTGTGCCACAATAGCAGAATGTAGTGTCACACTTCTACCACTATCAGAAGGTGTTGCACTGATCTTAATCATTTCTTTATCCATTTTACATGTCTCTCTTTTTTTCCACTTAAAGCTGGCATTTTGTTTCATAAATAATACATGTTACACTCCAATAGAAAGGGCCAGTACCAATGAAACCACCACAAGCTGTCTTCGACTTATTAGAAAACATGTTATCTTTTGCATATTGTCACTGTCACTGTTGGTTAGTGTTGAGAGCTGATGGGCTGAATGTGAGTGTCCTATTTTTTCACTTTTCTGTCTGATAGAAAACAGCAGGCAATAGGCCTAGGCGATATGGCTGAAAACTATATCACAATATAAGTAATTCATATCGGTCGATAACGATATATATTGATCATAATTTTTTTCATTTTTTTAACCTGGATAAATATGTTTTTCGTGTCGGCTAACACACGTTAGCAGCCTTTACAGCCTTTTACAGTCACGGGGAATGAGGCTAGAGGAATATTTTCACAAGCAGTCTCCCCCATAGTGAGTCCTGGTTAGTTCTAGTTTATCTCCTGTTTTGTGTCCCCATGACGGCTCCGTGCAGCCGCACTGAGGAAAAAGTTAATCTCTTGCTTTTGCCGCATGCACCAGGTCTCTGTGTCCACTGCCTCTCCCGCTCCGCACATGCTATGCCTCGCACGGACGTGCATAACCATTGACACGGCATTGAAAAACAATCTTCAGATCCATGGACGCTACGTCCATGGATCTGAAACAACAACTGCACCATGCGTAGCGCATGGTGCAGTTGTTGTTTTTGCATTTCCCAGAATGTTTTGCGGTTCTTACTCGGATTTACTTCCTGTGTTTTCTAGCTGTTTTTTCTTACGGAGTGAAGTTAAACTATCAAACATTCTATCGACCCCGTTTTCTATTGATATTGAACACATGTTTTTCGCGATATATATCGTTTTTTCGCCCAGCCCTAGTGTTGACCAAGTGTTGTAGAATGTTAAAGTGTCCTGGATCATCACCACAGTCCTTCTTGTTAGACTCTAACTGTCCAACAGACTCCTGCATCAGCAACGAAAAACTCTAAAACCCAGTGGGAGAAAAGTGAGAAACCTTGGGGAGATCCACAATGAGAGAGGTTTCCACTCCACACGGACGGACGGGCTATAGATCCAGGACCTGTGAAAACGTTATTAGATGGATTTGGGTATGTAATAGTAGTAGTAGTCCTTCATTTATCGCAGGGGTTACGTTCTATAAATAAGATAAATATGCGAAGTAGTTAAAGGTATATGTTTTAAAACTGCAAAACCGCTCACCGCACTCTTTAAACACTTTTCCAACCACCTGAACCCACAACTTCTGAAGTGCAATAGCAGAGATATCAAACCTGTCCTCTGCTGTGCATACACTGTGAAATACATCTGCAGATGAGACCAGAATGATGTCAAGCGGGGCCGGGTTGGAGACGAATAAGACCTGCACCCAGGACGGAGGTCATGCAGCGCAGTACACGACAAAATCTAGAGACAACAACCATAAAAGTAACCAAACAGGGAGTGACGACAAGAGCTAAAACATTAAGAGTCAAAGTGCAAGTACAGCTAATGCCTATCTCTTTACTACACTCTCACAACCACAGTTATTTTTAATCTTTTTCAGACTACGCATAGAGCTATACTCATTTGACATTGCATTCCATAGAGTCCAACAGCCCCTCTGCTTTTGTGTCTGACCAGTTCCTCTGCAGGGGAACTCCACAGCACCAGTCTGTCTGCAATCCGCTCTCTGTCTGGGGATCCTGTTTGCCATCGCTCCCTCAACAACACATCAATCACACCCGTCAGAAATGTCACGGCTCTTCCTCTTGTCATTTGTGCTGCTTTTCTGTGATGGATGGTCTATAAGCCCCGCTCGATGCGAACCTATAAGCGTCAATTGGCACCATGCGAGCAAATATCAAATGATAACGTTTTGAAAAATGGTCCCAAATATCCGCTGGTCATTTAGATAAATATTTGTCTTCGAGTCCAAGCTGCTGGACCGGCTGAGAAGAGCCAGTCTGATGTTTATGAGTGAGCAGGTATGTTTTGACAAGGAGTAATGCATGATCTTGAAAATACAAAAACATTTAAGCTGCGTTCACACTGCATCAACTCAGCTCTCGTTCCTTTCCTAGGAAATTGCTTTGGATCCAGACAAGAGATGGACTGATATGGGTTTTCTGTCATTCTAATTATTTATTTTTTTGGAAGGCTTAAAATAAACAGGAGTAGAGAGGGCGCGCAGGAATCGGCCATGAAGTGGTTATGGTCATTTCTTTTTCATTCAGAACAAAGAGAACTTGTAAAAGACTTGATTAAACATAGCCCACTTTCCAGCAGCACTTGTTTACTGCAGTTTGTGTGTGCAGAAAATCTGTCAAACTGCCCACTGACTCCTTACTGACGCATTTCATTCCAGCACGGTCTGTAACTATTTACCCATCTGCTAAACCCTGTCCATCATCCTGGTCCGGGTGTTTTCTATTCTTTGGCTAAACACAATTCATCTGTTTGGCTCTACATTCCACATGTTCTCTGTATAACCTTTTGTTTGACTGCTATGTGCACACACAAACACACACACACACACACACGCACACGCACACACAGAATTTTTTAATAATATACAAGTTATTCCAACATGGACAGGAAATGAACACAGTAATGTGACGCATACAGTAGCAAGTCACTGAACTGATGTAAAATGCCAATGTATCACAGATAAAGCAACACAAAATGAGAACAGTGGGCATGTAGTGACCATAGGCCGCAAGATGAGTGGACTGTCCAAGTGCTGGCCTCACCATAGCATAAGTTGGTAAGAGCAAACTCAAACAGGCTCTATGAACAAAAGAGAAAATCAGGAGCGAGCTGTCCTGTCCTGCTCTTCTTTATATTTGACATAAAGAAACAAATTATAACATCGCAAAAAACGCCCCACATGTGTTTAAATGAAAGTAGCAGGTACAAAAATGATAGTCATGTAGACAGAGTTTGTATTAATTCCAGCACGCGGTTGCATCAGTAATCAGTGCTTGGATTCAACAACATTTTTGAACATTTATCTACCTTTATGGACAGTGGTCATCTGCCTCGTATGGACCAATGACCTGATGTGTTTTTTTTCATTGCATTTCTTGTGTTTGATTCTCTGATCTGTGTTGGCGAATCTAATGGTTTTGTAAAGTTCTCAGAGATAACTACTGTTGTGATTTAGGACTATACAAGAATAAATTGAATTGAATTGATTTAGGAGATACGTGTGTCACAGACAACAAAAGTTAAAAATGACTTTAGAACAGAGTCAATCCCTAGTCTGGATCCAAAGCAATTCCCTAGGAAAGGAACTAGAGCTGTATTGATGCAGTGTGAACGCAGCTTAAATGTTTTTGTATTCTCAAGATCATGTTCTTTCAACAAATAGATTTATCCAGTGTGCATGTTTTTAGTGGTAGGGGAAACCGGAGAAAACCTTCAAAAGCACAGGGAGAACATGCAAACTCCACTCAGAAAGGCCCTGTTCCGACCGGGATGCAAACCCAGGACCTTCTTGCTGAGAAGTAGGAGTGCTATCCTTTCAGCCACTGCAAATCTTGTGTAAAAGCGTTAGTATTGCCAACAGAAATAATGTTGCTTTAACAGAAATCATAGTTTTCTCTGCACTGTGTTGTGGAGAGATAATAATGATTTGTGTAAAAGCAACAGTTGATGATATGAAGAAATGTCTGATTATAGTGCAGTGTAGTCTGCAAAAAATAGAAATGTGCTCCTTTTGTTCAAGTTCCCTGGTCTCTGCAAGCTGCTCATGAACTCTGAGGCATAAACTTGAACGGCTGTAAATGAATAAATGCCTTTGATTCTCATGAATTGGTAAAAATGTGGTTCAGGCTGGATCGTCACTCGACCTCCGGCGATCGGGCCAATTTATTTTCACATAAGCAGTACTATTCATTGAAATCTCTTGAAAGTTTGATCGCGGTGCACAAACAGAAATAAATGATGATGACATGATGCATTTATTTCCAAAGTTACACCAGGACATGTGTATGAAGCTGTAGCCCACTTACACAATGTCTTTTTTGTCCATTTCCCCTGGTTTATGACCTCAAAAAAATCTTCAAACTCTCTAAAACATGGGTTAGCATACGTTTATTTCATCTGTGAAAATGACCACCAGACAGTGGTTTGCTTCTGTGAATTTTTTTATGGATTTATTTTCACATTATGAGGGTATTTTAGCAAATTACTTTTAAATATCATGAGTTTTGATAGTATTTTCTGGTAGATTTTTTCTCCACACAATTGGTTCAGCTTCTGTTGGTTTGGATTTAACCACAAGGTGTCATGAGATGAAACGAAGGAAGGATCTAAAATACAATGATTTAAAAGTGATGATATAAAAAAAAAAAGCCAGAGGAAAAACAAGAACGCAGGAACTAGGAAAACGACAGACCTATAGAGAGACAATGATTGACACTAGAAGAGCATGGATGGGGACGAGCACAGGCTACATATGGACACAGAGAGACACAGGTGAAACAGGAACTAATACTAAAATAAACCAAGTACCAAAATGATACCATGCCAAACCATGACACAAGGCTTGTAATTATGATACAAAAAAATGATTGGCCAATTTCACTTCTTTTTACTGCTGCAAGTTTACCATAATATCTTCCATCCATCCATTTTCTTCCCCTTAATCCATTTCTGGGTCGGGGGGGGGGGGGGCAGTCAGAGCTGCACCCAGTCACAGAGCACCAGCCCCTCACTGATCCTCCTGCAGGTGGTGAGTCCACAGGAGCTGAGATCTTCCAACGGGGGCTTCAGGCGAAGTGGGTAAGTGTCTTGCCCATAGACACAACGACAGCAGTCATCAGTGGGAGTCAGGAAGTAGGTCTTGTGGTGGGCTTGAACCTACGACCTTCAGGCTCAAAGGCCAATGCTCTACCAACTGAGCCACTGTCGCTCGCTGACCATATCATACCATACCTTAATAATTGAAAATAATTTTGGAGGCCACGAAAGAATTGACACATGTGAGACAGATGGATCCCTCACATGTTGATTGTAACTCTCCTAAAGCTCTCAGTTCTTCAGCGCACTGAGAGGATGCGCGTCTGCTGCTTCTCTGAGCTCCACTGTGGGACGTCTTCTTGGAGCCTGGTCTGCACAGAATGGCCCGGACTTCCCTCCTATGTTTTTTAAAAAATGTGTGATATTAATGTTGGTTTTTAAATGTCCTGTCGGATTTTAATTGGAAATTTTTAATGTTTATGATTCATGCACAATGTGTGTCATGGGTTGTAAGGTGCTTTGTGTTGCCTTGTGTAGGGAAGAATTGATTGATCTGCAGCTGTGCAACACTGAGGCCCAGTTTACACGGAGACACTGTACCAGTAAAACGCTATAGTTGGATGTCGGTTGCTACCAACGGAGTCTTTCATACGGAGACTATTTTCCAGGGGGGTGAAAACGTAAGTGTTCAGATCCAGCCTGCAGAGTGGGATAGCTCAGATACGCTGCTCAGCGGGGAAGCTCTTTCACATCCGCATAAGGAAAAAATTGTGAATTCTCTGCCTGAACTCCCCACTGCTCCCCGCACGGAAATTTGGACATGCGCAGTAGCCGAGAACAAACGTGAACAACAATGGCGGCGGGTGAACTAACTAACTACGTGTGCACTATCTCGTCCAGTGTGTTGCAGACCAACACCTCACCTCGCACTAATTGAAGTGAGGTCATGAGTTTTTTGGAGACATGGGACATTTCACTTGATCCCAGAGGGGGTAGGCTCGATACCCTCTTTGGGACGGCGGTAATGCAATCTGCCCTCATCAGTGCTTGCTTTTGCGGCACAGACAGAAGGCCACTTGTCCCTGATGCCTCTATAATCCACACTGAACATTGAAAAAAGCTCATACGAGGCATCACATAACAAAGACTGATACGTACACGGACTTGTGTTCTGAAATAGATCCAGAGAAGCAAACACACGGGTCAAGTCTGGTAAATAAACATTATTGACATGTTTAGGTCAGATGACAGATGATCCCTGCTGTGGAGGAAACAATATTGATATTAATGCTGCGGAGACAATGCACATACACATACAGTGCATTATGCACATACAGTAGGCAAGGAAAGTTTATCTATATAGCTCAATTCATACTCAAATGGCTGAACAGAATAAGATAGAAACAATCACACAAGGCATTAGAATTATAAATACAGTAGGTTTTTACAGTACCCACATTTACTCATGTCTAAAACTACATTCATTGTTAACACAAAAGCAACAGACAACTGTGAAGTGAAAGCAAAATGATGTTGTTATATTAAAAACAGACTAGTAGTGCATTGCCTTTTATGAGGGCATTAAATTACATTAAACATTCCTAATGACTGCGCTGTGGCAATTAGAGCTGCCACCCCATAATCAGAGCACCAACCCACAGGACTGCATTAGAAGAGAACCTAGTGGAGCTGGAGATTCCACATACAGTTATTTCCTGAACTAAATTATTTATTATTTGAAATTACTTGCTGTATTTGTACATGCTATGATACTTGCACACGCCGTACTTTTTCAGTTTTCTAAAAGTATCAGAGTCATCAGTATCGTAAATAATGCTTTCACTTCACAGTTGTCTGTTACTTGTGTGTGAACTTTCAGTTCACTTTTTATATTAATCCATTATTTGAATGATTAGTTCACATTCTAAAACATGAAGTGTGGTAATAATTAGATCAAGACCATGTTGTCTAAATTAAATCAAATAATGCAGTTATTTACCGTTTTCAATAGAGATAAATTCCCAATGATTTTT